TGGGTACAGCCCAGAGCATCACCCCCACAGAGGCTTAGGGACGGCCCTGCTGGACGCCGCTGGGGGGTCTCGGGGGAAGAAGGGCTTCCAGAAGCCTGGCAGTTGCTGTCTGGAGACCGGGAAGCCACGCCCAGGAAACTACCTGCGGCTGAGTTCAGAGATGGGGTCCGTGCATTGTGAATGAATTCCTCTCTCTCTCCTCCTCCTCTTGCCTACATCCACATAACATAAAATTCACCATTTTAGCCATTTTTAAGTGCATGGTTCTGTGGCATTAGGTACATTTGTGTTGTGCAGCCACCGCCACCCTCCGCCTTCAGAACTTTCTCATCTTCCCAAACCGAAGCTCTATGCTCATTAAACGCTAGCTCCCCGTTGCTCTCCCCCAGCCCCGGCAGCCCCATTCCACTTTGTGTCTCGACTTGAAGTGTGGCTGCTCTGGGGACCAGTGCGAGTGGAGGGCTGCTGGGTTTGCCTGCGTCTGGCTTATTTCACTCAGCAGAGCGTCCTCCGGTTTTGTTTGTTTTGCAGCAAGTGTCAGCATTTTTCTCATTTTTAAGGCTGAATAAAATACTGTGTGGATAAGCCATGTTTTGTGTATCTGTTCACCCACTTATGGACCTATGAGCATGAGTGTGCACTTAGCACCTTTTATTTTTATTTTATTTATTTTTTGGAGACAGAGGCTCACTCTATCCCCCAGGTTGGAGTGCAGTGGCTTGATCTCGGCTCACTGCAAACTCTACCTCTCAGGTTCAAGAGATTCTCCTGCCTCAGCCTCCCAAGTAGCTGGGATTACAGGTGCCTGTCACCACGCCAGGCTAATGTTTGTATTTTTAGTAGAGATGGGGTTTCACTATGTTGGCCAGGCTGGCCGCAAACTCCTGACCTCAGGTGATCCACCTGCCTCTGCCTCCCAAAGTACCGGGATTGCAGGCGTGAGCCACCACGCCTGGCCCCAGCCAACTTTTATTTATTTATTTTTTTTTTGGAGACAGGGTCTTGCTCCATCACCCAGGCTGGAACGCAGTGGCACAATCACAGCTCACTGCAGCCTCAACTTCCCTGACTCCAGTCGATCATCCCACCTCAGCCTCCCAAGCAGCTGGAACCACAGGTGCACACCACCACGCCCAGCTCTCGCTGTGTTGCCCAGGCTGGCCTTGAACTCCTGGGCTCAAGTGATCCTGTCACCATGGCTTCCCAGAGTGTTGGGATTACAGGCATGAACCACGGTGCCCAACCAGTTAGCACCATCTAACATCCACGGCCAGCTGTAAAATCTCTGAGAGCCAGGAGGCAGCCCTGCCCAGGGAACTGGAGTGGAGAACCCGGAAGGGATACAGGACTAGGTGGGCAGTGCGGGCCGCCCCTTGGGCTGCACAGTCCTGCAGGACCAAGGTTCCTAGGCCCTCTGGATTCTGTCAAGTTTCTGTCACTTCCTTGCAGAGTGGAGGCCGGGGGAGGCTGTCATGTGGGATGTAGGGGCACAGGCCCAGGCACAGCAGGCAGGCCCACCCCCTTCCCGCCCAGCGGCTTCTGGTGCCACTTCCCCGGCCTTTCGTCAGGCGGATGTTGGGACCCGAGACGGTCGGGAGTCCGGGAGTTCGTGGGTGGTTTGCCTGTTCTCCAGCTCCAGCAGAGGGGATGGTGGGGTCTGCACATTGCTGTCGCTACAGACAGGCCCGGATGCCCTCCACACCCTGCGGGGCAGCTCTGTGGCATCTTGGTGCAGGAGCTGTGGGAGCCCTGCGGTCTGGAGTAAGATGCACCGTGGGATGGAGGCTCCTCGGCCGCAGAGTGAGTGCTGGTGGCAGAGCCTGCTCGTGCATTCACCTATGTGCTGGCTCCTTCTTCCATAAGCTGTTCGGCCACAGCTGCTGACTCTGCTTCGGCCAGGTCAGCTCCAGGCTTGGGTGGCAGTCCTGCCACAGGCTGGGGCAGAGGGGCTGGGACGCGGGCGGGAATGAAAGGGAACCTGCCTGGGAAGGCTGGGGAGGAGCGTCCAGGCCCTGCGGTCATTTGCGGAGGGAGCGAGTGTCAGGGCCTGCTTGGGTGGATTCTGAGCCTGGAGGCCTCTGTGCAGGTCAGCACAGGACAGCCTCGGGCAGGAGACCCCCAGCCGCACACAGGCTCCTGGTCCTGGTGCTTGGTGCCTGCCACCTGGGACCTTGCTAGAAGGCAGGACGTGCTGTCAGTGCCACATCAGACCCGGCTCCCGAAGCCCACCCACCTCAGATCCTGATGCTGGCCCACGAGGAGCTCCCATTTCTGGGTCTGGATTTTCTGAAGCCCCAGGCAGTTCTTGTGCCACCCCCAGGGTGACCCAGGCCTTCACTACTGTTCTGGGACCCGACAAACCACTCTGCTGCTAGGTTGGAGCCCTGCGGGCAGCTGAAAGCCAAGAGGACGCAGCAGGCCCACAGCACCTCTCCTCGGCGCCCTCATGCCCTGGAAGCAGGGGCTCTGGCCGGCTGGGGCTGCGTGTGGGAGCATGTATGTGTCCGTGTGTGCATTTATGAGTGTGTGACCCTGTGTCTGAGTGTGTGTGGGAGCGTGTCTGTGTATGAGTGTGTAGCCCTGTGTTTGAGTGTGTGTGGGAGCTTGTGTCTGTGTGTGTGTGGCCCTGTGTCTGAGTGTGTGTGTGGGAGCGTGCGTGTCGGTGTATGAGTGTGTGGCCCTGTGTCTGAGTGTGTGTGGGAGCTTGTGTCTGTGTGTGAGTGTGTGGCCCTGTGTCTGAGTGTGTATGTGGGAGTGTGCGTGTCGGTGTATGAGTGTGTGGCCCTGTGTCTGAGTGTGTGTGGGAGTGTATATTGCCTGTGTATTTATGAGTGTGTAGCCCTGTGTTTGAGTGTGGGTGAGCACGCACGTGTGTGCACGCATCCGAGTGTGCATGTGCCTGAGTGTGCGAGTTGCCGCATGTGCGTGTGCACGTGAACATGTGCGTCTGTGTGTTCATGTCTGAGTGTGCACCTGCCCGTGCGCCACAACCTCAGGACCCGGCCGCGGTGGTCATTCCCGGTCGGGCCGACAGAGGGCGCCGTCGGACAGGCCTGTGCCCGCTCTCCGCGCTCCCAGCACAGCCGTCTCCTGCCCGGGACCGCGCGTGGGGAGGCGCCGGCCGCTCTGCTGGCAGAGGAGGGACGGGTTGGAAGGGAGACCTAGGAGGTGGAGGAACAGCCTGGGGGACGGCAGGGGGCAAAGTGACGTCCAGTTTGGGATGGGAGGAGGGAGAGGGTGAGGCCCACGAGCGGGACGTGGGGGGGGACAGGCGTGGGCACTGGATCCTCGCAGGACTGCTGGGGGTGCCTCAGGGGCCGGATGCACCGAGGGCGAGAATTTCACCATCGCCTCGGTCCCCAGCCTGGGCGCCCGGCGCGTCCTTCCCCTGGGTGCCCGGCGTGTCCCGCCTCCCCGTTAAAGGACGAGGGGCAGAATCCTGGCCCAGGGCAGAGCTACAGGCTGTCCGCGCCGCCCTCCCCATGCCCAGCTCGCCCCCGTGCCCTTCCCCTCACAGAGCACAGGCTCAGCAGGGCCGGGCAGGGCTGCAGTGTGGACAGACGGCTCGGGTGGGAGTTCCCACCCGTGGCGGGGGCTGCAGTCCCGGCCCCATCCAGGACGATCAGCGTCTAAGGAGCGGCTCCGGGTCCGCGGCGCTGGGGAGGCTGGCGAGGCACAGGGCTGTGGGTGCAGCACGCTCCGGACCACGGGCTGGGGCGGGGTCACGCGCGGGCGGGGCCGGCTCTGGTGGTCCCGGAGCCGCAGGGCCACCCCCCCCCGCCCCCCGGCTCTGCGCTTGCTCTTTCCCACCGGACTTTGCACGAAGATTTCGAGTCCCTGTGACGGGGAGTCCTGCTGGAAATGTTGACTATTGTGATGACCGGTCTGGAAAACTGGGAAACACAGAGGCCTGTCGAGGGGAGAACGAGTTTCCCGGCGGGCTGCAGTGGAGCCGCGACTGCCCCTGCCGGCCTCGCAGCCCACAAGCCCCAGAGGCCCCACCCTGGTCACTTCCCGGGTTCTCCCCAAGCCCACTGGCCCTGAGTCCTCCCACCCCACCCCCTGCACGTCCCTCCAGGGCTGGGGCTGTGCCTGCCCTCCTGCCCTCCTGCCCTAGCTCCCTGACCCCCAGGTCCTGTCCTAGGCTCCTGACAGCCCCACACCGGCCTCCCCAGGGCTCTCCTACTCACATCCCCTCCTGGTCACTGTGGGACGCCCTTCCCTTCCCTTCCCTTCCCCTCCCTTCCTCCCTCCCCTCCCGCCTCCCCTCCCCACTCCCCTCCCTTCCCCTCCCTTCCTCCCTCCCCTCCCGCCTCCCCTCCCCACTCCCCTTCCCTTCCCTGATGGGGTCTCCCTCTGTCTCCCAGGCAGAGTGCAGTGACGCCATCTCGATCTCGGCTCACTGCAAGCTCCACCTCCCGGGTTCACACCTTTCTCCTGCCTCAGCCTCCCGAGTAGCTGGGACTACAGGTGCCCGCCACCAAGCATGGCTAATTTTTTTTATTTTTAGTAGAGACGGGGTTTCACCGTGTTAGCCAGGATGGTCACAATCTCCTGACCTCATGATCCGCCCACCTCAGCCTCCCAAAGTGCTGGGATTACAGGCGTGGGCCACCGCATCCGGCCTTTCCGTCTTTTCTTTAAATCAGGATCTTTAATGGCAGCTTAATAGCCATCATTAGTATGTTAATAACCCCTCCTCCGCTCTGGGCTGTCTGTCCTCCCATTTCCGGGCCATTGTCCTTCATTTGTGGGACAGCAATACCTGGAGGTCTCCGCTTGCCCCCTTGGGGACCCTGGACATTCATCCCCCTGGATGGGGACACCGAGCTGGGACGATGCCTGGGGACGCCCTCTTGGGAAGACCTCTCAGGAGCCCTCCAGCCGCGGTCTGCCTGTCGGCAGTGGGTACCGCCGGGCTGCCCGGCCCCTCCCCTCCACCGGGTCCTGCCAAGTCGGTCAGAAGGAAAGATGGGCAGCGGTTGGAAATACACTTTTGACGGGAATTTACTTTATTGTGTTTAATTGAAAAGCGTGGAAGTCGAGGCATGAATATTCAGTGTTGCCGGCTGCTGGCTTGGAGCTGAAGTCTGTCTTCTAATGCATCCAGCACGGGGCCTGTCCGAGGGGGAGCGGCGGTGGGGAAGCTATTAATTGAAATAGCTTCATTAATTAGTAATTAACAGCAGGATAATGACTATGTCACGCATCGTATTTCAGTGGATGCCCTTCATGTGTTATGAGGCCTTTAATTAAAGGACGTGCATTTTAATTAAAGGCGTGCTTGGCCCTTTGGCCTTTGCAATACAAAAGACGCTCCCAACTTTCAAAGAACCTGACAGGGAGGCTGTGCTCATGCAAGGGAGTGGGGGCTGCCGGGGGCGTCCACCCTCAGGGCACCCCTCGCCTTCCAGCCCAGCTCTGGCTGGTCCTCCTTGGAGTCCATTGGACAACCTGGTGGCCGTGTGGGGTACAGGAGGGGCCCTGGGCCAGAGAGCCATGGATGGGGAGGCCAAGGCCCATATGACCCCCCCTTGGGGTCCAAACACTCTTCTCTGCCCCCGCTCCCCCGCCAACTTATCTATCTGCTGGTTGGAAGTATAATGTCTGAGGGGCACCCAGGGACACTTGTCTCCTACACTGGTTTGCAGAAATTGTAGGGTCTTCCCATCTCAGCACTGCCTGGGCACCTTTGTGCCCATCGTGGGAGGGTGCCCTGCTAAGGCTGTTTTAAAACTGGCGCCCACATTCTTTCCCTCAAGAGATGGAGCCTGTGTCCCCTCCCCTTGAATCTGGGGGTGGGGGCTTGTGACTGCTTCTGAAGCTAAAATGTGACTTCTGCAGCTTCTGCCTGTATCTCCTGGGCACTCACTCTCAGGACCCGGCCACCATGTTGTGAGGAAGCTGAATCACGCCACACAGGAGCCACTGGGAGAGCGGGAGAGGCCGGACATGCACCTAGGGTGCGGGTGGGGGTGTCTGAGCTGGTTGGAGGAGGGAAGGCTGTTGACTAAGAGAACAGTCCCAGGATCCCTGGTGGCAGAAGGGGGCTGGCAGGGAGTGCTGGGCAGGGAATGCCTGCGTGCTGGCCCGAGTGCCAGTGCCAGCCAGCTGCTGCCCGGAGAGCCCTAGCCCTCTGTGGCTATCTGGCCTCTGCTCATGGCTGTTTGTTGCTCAGAGAGAATCTGAACAGCACTGACTTCACCTCCACCCCACCCCTGAGGTGGGCAGCTGGACCTCAGAGTTGCTTCAGGAAAAAGTCCTCAGCCAATGGTGTCCGTGCCAAGGACAAACCTGAGAGGCCATTAAAAATGCCAGAGACATGCGGGATAAAATACAGCCTGTCCCATTAAATTATTGAATGCCTTTAACATTAACTACCATCCTCCAAACCTGCAGTGGCTCACATCTTCCCTCTTTCCTCCGGCTTGGAGAACCTTCAGCTAGAACTCAGGCTGGAAATGTATTTTACTGTTTTCCCTGTGCCCCTGTGACGCGGGGGTCTTGGGGGCACGCTCCCACCCCAGCACAGGAGCCGCAGGACTGCCTCTGGTGCCCCAGACCCACCCACATCTGCCCCCAGCCTTCCCCCAGCACAGGAGCCGCAGGACTGCCTCTGGTGCCCCAGCCCCACCCACATCTGCCCCCAACCTTCCCCCAGCAGGCACAGGACTGCCGCTGGTGCCCCAGACCCACCCACACCAGCCCCACACCCACATCTTCCCCCAGCCTTCCCCCAGCAGGCACAGGACTGCCTCTGGTGCCCCAGCCCCACCCACATCTGCCCCCAGCCTTCCCCCAGCAGGCACAGGACTGCCTCTGGTGCCCCAGACCCACACCAGCCCCACACCCACATCTTCCCCCAGCCTTCCCCCAGCAGGCACAGCCCCAGCCCCACCCACATCTGCCCCCAGCCTTCCCCCAGCAGGCACAGGACTGCCTCTGGTGCCCCAGACCCACCCACACCAGCCCCACACCCATACCTCCCCCCAACCTTCCCCCAGCAGGGAGGCTCTGGGTCTTTCTGCCCCCTTCGTCCCTTGCCATCTATTTTTAGAGCTGCCTGTAGGAACGTTTTCCATGAACAGAATCCGGAACTCTCACACAGACAGGCTGGTGCTGGGGTGGGTCTGACGGTGTGGTGTGAGTTAACCTCCGCTGCCCTAGCAGGGCCCTGTGACAGGGCAGCCTAAACAATAAGAATGAGTTTTCTCAGCAGGGCACAGTGGCTAGAATCCCAGCACTTTGGGAGGCCAAGGCAGGAGCATTGCTTGAACCCAGGAGTTTGAGACTAGCCTGGGCAACATGGCAAGACCCCGTCTCCACAAAAAAGAAGAAGAAATATTAGGCAGGTGTGGGTGTGCGAGCCTGTAGTCCCAGCTACTCCAGAGGCCGGGGTGGAAGGATGGCTTAAACCCAGGAGGTCAAGGCTGCCATGAGCTGTGGTTGTTTCACTGCACTCCAGCCTGGGCGACACAGCAAGACCCTGTCTCAAAAAGCAAAAACAAACAAAAGAAATGAGCTCTCTCCCAGTGTGCCCGCCTTACCTCTTTAAAGACCCTAACTCCGAATGAGACTGCACCTGAGGTGGGAGTTAGGGCTTCTGCACAGGAACGGGAGGGACACGGTTCAGCCCAGCACAGCAAGGCTTCATTCCTGCCTGTCCTGGACCCAGGGCCTACCAAGCAGTGAGGCTGCCCGAGAGCGTACAACAGCCTGGTGTTGCCCCGGCGTTGCCCCGACCTCCTTGGGGACTGAGGGGTTGTGGCAACAGACGGCTCACAGCTGAGCCCCTCTCCTGGGTCTCACGCTGGCAAGTTGACGACTGATCAGCACGGGGGATCAACCCCGAAGCCGAAGCTGTGGGCCGCAGAAGCTTCTGTCGGGGCTGCATCGCACCCTAACTTCTCCCCCGCCCTGCCTTGCCCCCCAGCCCCAGAACTCTCCCTTGGCAAATCTCCATCTCCATCAAGTTTGTGGGGGCCCAGCCTAAGGCAAGACCCCAAGCCCCTTGCTGGGAGGGCTCTCAGCAGACCCTCCATATTAATAAGGAAAGAAACACTAAACCGGGTTGAGAGGACCACGGCAGATGACATGTTCAGCCACAATCCCACAGGACTCAGTCCAGCCAGGAGGAAGCTGGGGACAGATGGAGCCCTGGGGATGGGTCCAGGCAGGCGGTGCTGCCACAGGGGACGTGGCTCTGTGGTGAGCAGGGTGACACAAGCTCCAGAGCCAGGAAAGCTGGGCTTGGAGTATCTGTCAGCCCCACAGAACCCGCCCGAGGCATGGAGATGCCAGCTGCGCTGTTCCAATGGCTGTGCCCTGTGTGCAACGGGACGCTGTGCCCGCAACATGCACTGTTATTACGTGTCATCATAAACAAAATAGAAACCCCCACCAGATGCCACACGCACTAGAATGGCTGGAACTGGGATCCACGGGAGGATCAGGAGGGGCTGAGGCCGTAGAGGGGTCCCGAGAGCCTGCCTGGTGTCGGGGAGCTGCTGATACCCCTGTGAAAGCAGAGCACGTGGACGTGGCCCCGAACCGTCCCCACCACCCTGCTGGGGCAGCCAGTCCCTGAGAGGGTACGAGGCCAGGGTGGGGTCTCACAGCTCCCGTGGGCTGTCTCCCCTCCTGGTGCACTTCCTTTTTCTGGTTTTAGGATGTCACCTTGATGGACGTCACAGAAACCGCATACCGTTGTCTGAGAAGGTGAAACACACGAGTGAACAGAGGGAAGAAACGCTGCCCGGTCATCCTCTGGGGTTTGGTCAGTATCCTTCGAGATGCTGGACGTCTGTGCACGGTGGTCCCCCTGTGCCCCCTGCTGGGAAGCGTTCTCCTGCCGGGTCGTAGGGTCTCTTGTCCAGGGCAGCGGCTGTCCCACCCCCCTCTCCCTCTGCTGAGACACCCCTGCTCAGCAACCCCCTCCCTGGGCCTCGCCAGGGACACACACCAGGGGGCTGTGAGCCCCAGAGGCCAAGAAAACTGCTCCCTGCTTCCAACCCCGGACACCACCTCAACTGTCCCAGGTGGCTGAGAGTGGGATCTGGGATTGGCTACTTCCTTTGGGCATCTCCCTGCCATTTATACCCAGGCCGTCCTCCTTCCTTCCTCCCCCAGAGCCAGGATAGTGCCCAGGCAAAGATGAGAGGATTGCTCACCTGAGTAAGGCCCAGAGCCTTTCCTGAAGCTCATTTGGGCAATTGGGGGCTGGAGTTCCCCCTGCTCAGCCCAGGAAGACTCAGCCTCCACCCCCTCCATGGTCTCTGAGTCTCAGTTCTGCTTCTGCAGCTCCTCCTGTCCCCAAGCGTCCTCTGTTCCCTCGGCCTGAGCCAGCTTGGGGAAGCTGGAGACAAGCCCTGAGCAGCCGGGCCCCTCCTCTTCAGGGCACGAGCTGGGCACGGGCAGCACTTCCTCACCCCATTGTCCTGGGGGGCGGAGCTTGGTGGATGACGGTGCCACCCAGGGACGGGGGGACCCTCGGAGGCCGGGGTGTTTCCTGTGGACACTCAGTCACCTTTGGGGTTTCTCACGGGGCCTGAGGGGTTTTCAGGGAAGGAGCTGCCTCCGCCCTTTAGGCTGTTTATGTGCTCCCTGCACCGCCATTTTTTTCCCCAAATAGACAACCTGGACACAGGCTCGGGAAGGCACCACGTGACCGACCGCTGCCCCCAGGACAACCTGTCTCTGTGTTTCTGCCAGCATCCCATGGAGCAGATGGTTTTAGGAGGGACTTTTCAGGACATTCCCTTGCTAAGCCAAGGGAACTCAAGGATCCCCAGTCACGTACCCAGTTTTCAAACATTTTCCATTTCCATGTTTAATTGGAGGAAATGATTTTACCAATATTAATTTTTTTATGTGGAAAACTTAGAATAAGGCTTGGCCACTGTCAAAATTTGCCAATCATCATGTCCCATCTCTCTTGGGCACCTGCATTTTCCTGGCCAGGTTTGAAGCTCTAGCTGACGTCAAGTGGAGGTCGTTCTCCCATCGGCCTTTAGTGGGTAACAAACGTGACCCTGAGCTCAACAGCACTGCACAGGCCCCAGGCAAAAGCAGGCGAAAACCTGGATCACGAGTGTTTGGGGCCCAAACAGCTGAGCCAGGGTCTCCCAATAAGAGCTGAGAACACATACTGGCTCCTGTGCCTGACCAGAGCTCGGTGCCCTGGCTGGTCCTCCCCTCATCCAGCGAGGGCCAAGGACGCGGCTCTGTCTGGCTGGGCCCTCTCTGCCCCCTCTGCCAGGAAGGCTGAGGTGACAGCAGCTCTGCCCATAATGGAGCTTTCTGCGCCTCCCACTGCAATACAAAGCTCGTGATGGTCTTGGATTTTCCATATAGATCAGTCCATACGGAGTAGTGACCATGGACAGCAAGCAGCTCAGGCCCGCCCTGTCCCTGGGCAAGTTGGGGCCTGGGAGAGGACAGACAGATGCTCAACACTGCAGCATGGAGAGCCCCTCAGCATGGCTCCGGCTGCTCCAGCTCCTTCATTAACGTCCCTGCCTGCGGTGCAGACCCGCTCTGGGCCACAGGCTCCTGTCCCCAGTCACCTCCAGGATCGCCCTAATTGGCGGCTTCTCGGCAGCTCTCAGAGAGAAGAGTGAGGGGCAGCGGCCATCCCCCCGTGGGCGGAGAGCTGCCGTCTCAGCCAGTGTGCAGGGGACCCTGCAGGGGAGGCGAGGAGACAGGACTGCCTGCCAGCCCTGCCCATCCCCGCTGGCTGGACGCTGTCTAGAGCTGGCAAGGAAACTTGGTTTGTTTGCAGAAAAACGAAGAGAGGAGAATAGCCTCTGAACGCATGCAGCCCACAGTTGCCAGATCTGACTGGGTCCTTTCATTCCAGCGGCCTCAGGCAAGGACAGGGGGCTTCCCTGCCAGTTCTGGTCTGAACCCCACGGGCGAGGGTCCTGCAGTCCTAACCCTGCAACTCAGGCTCAAGTGCACCCCCCATCGCTGCCCAGCCCGGCGGCGGTGCCTGCTCAGGGGGAGGCCCTCTCTGCGCTCAAACCATGGGTGTCTGTCCCGGACAAAATCAGTCCCATTTTCCTTTGCTCACCAGCACCATTCAAAGGGGATTGAAGTATAAATGTTTTCCTAAGTTTTAGCTGACATTCAATTTTAATGACTTTTTAAACAAAGTAGCTGTTAAACGTGCAATGTTTTACGGTTTCCTGATGTCTGACAGGTGTTTTTGCCCATGTGGGAAGCAGATGCTAATCGCATTCTCCCTAATAGCTCATAAATAATAAGCACTGCGCGTTCCCTTTGTGTGTCGTGCTGCCAGTGGCCAATTTGCTCTTCAGAAGTGGCCAGGCTGCCTGTCAATCAGCTCTCGCCGGAGGCACTTTTTGGTGATTAGAAGCCCCTTGGAGAGCGAGAACTCCAAATTAGTTTTAAATAAAAAATAAGAATATTCATGCCGCTGAACATCTAAAGGTAAAGGAGACAACACAGTCCAAACCTGCGGCCTGGGTCCGGCGTGGCTGGTGGAGGGGCCGCGCGCCCAGACCCCCCGGGGCCCCCGGGGACGGGGTGCAGACGGCACCGCACAGCGCGGCACGGGGCGCACAGAGAGGCAGGGGGCGGGGGTGACAGGCGCGGAGCCGCTCGGCGGGAGGGGCTCAGGCAGCCTCCTGTCGCTGAAACGCGGGTCACACGAGAGCTCGGCTGCGTTCCGGGACCGGCGTAATTGGCAGGCTCCAGGCAAGAGCGCTCATGCTGACTGGCGCCTTTGCCGGGACTTGAAAGCAGGGGAGGGGACGTGCCTGTCTCCTTGAGAGGAGAACAAATGTTGCCTTTGAAGAAGTTTGCGGTGAGCGGGGCCGGTGTCAGAGGAGACGGCTTCTGGAGTGGCGGGCGGTGGCGGCGGGTGGCGGCGGGTGGCTGGCCCTGCCCCTCCCCCGTCCCCCTCCCCCCTTTCCGCCCTTTCCCCCTCCCCCCAGCAACCTCCGTGGGTCTCTCCTCTGGGGCAGGCTCAGCTGGGCGGGCGCCGCTGCCACCCCCGTCCTCAAAGTCACCTCGTGCTGTTGTCCCTTCTGTGCATCAGGATGGGGCCGTGTGCACCCTTCTGGGGTTCCTGCGGGGCTCCCCTCGGCCCCAGGCTCTGTCCATGGTGCTGGGAAGTCCCACCATCTTCCCAGGTTCGGAAAACTGCATGAATCCGCTCATGCAGTGGGGAAGTGGGACTCTGGGCCAGGGGAAGCCAGGCGCGGTGTCCTCAGGGCAGAGAGGCCACGAAGAGCTGGGGAGGGCAGGCGGGGCTTCGGGACCAGTATGGGCAAAGGCTGGGTGGGTTTGGGGGCGGCGGTTTAACGTCTCTTTGTGAGAATCCAGGACAGGCGAGGGCTCCAAGGGTGAGTTGGCTGCACGGAACCCTCCGGAATCTTCTGACCCTCAGTGTGCTCCTTCTAATGCTGAGGGTGACCCACTCTGAGGCCTCGGGGCTGTCTCCCTCCTCGCCAGCATGAAGCCTGTGGACCGTGGGTGCAGGTGTGAGGCCTCAGGGTCCAGTGGGCCAGGGAGCGGCCAGACCAAGACCTGCTGGGGGGCAGTAAGCAGGCCCTTGGTGGGACAGAGACTGGGGGACCAGGACTCCACTTGGGCTGGGGACAGCAGAGGGCCCTGGGCATCGGGAGAAGGGGACAGGCTGAGAGAGGGGCAGCAGGAGGCAGCAGGAGCAGGCCGGGCCCATCTGAGGCTGGTGAGGCCTTGAGTACAGGGACCCTGGGAGGCAACCAGCAGTGCCCAGCTCTGGCCTCCTCCAGAAGGGCCCCAACAGCAGAGATGCCCCAACCCCTCCCCACCTCTCTCCACTTCCTCCCAGAGGTTTCCTTCCAGTGACCACAGCTGCCAGGCCATAAGCTTGGGGAGGACCCTCATCTCTCCAGACCCCACCCAGTTCTCCACACTGAGGGTGCCCTGCCCTGTGTCTTCCCTGTGCTCAGAGGCTCTGGGGGTCCCTGACAGCCCTAGAGCTGGGTGTCCTTCTCTGCTGGACACCAGAGCTGTGAGCCCAAGGGGCCAGGAGTGCAGCCTGCCCTCAGGATCTGGCATGAGAAGACTTCAGGTTCTCAGGCCTGGGGGCAAGTCCTGGGGCTGAGCACCATCTCCCCTGTCCCAATCCTGTGGGCAGTGGGGAGGGAACATGGAGGAGGTCACATGTTTAAGCCTGAAAACAAATGATGCCCTCCCACCTCACCCTGCCTGGCCCACGGCCACTGCCCCTGGGACCATTCCACGGCTGTAACTCTTGTCCTTCCTGGCTTTCCAACTAATGCTTTGTGATTGGGCTAATGTATTGTTAATTAATAGGCAAAGACAAATCCATTTCATGGCGCATGCATTCTGGAGCTGGCTTCCAGAGGCTCTGCAGGCGGGACTGAGACCCGGCCGGGGGCGGTGCTGGTGGCTGGGCCCTCTCCAAGTGGATGGCGGAGGAGCCGGCTGCACCTCGATGGCTCACACGGGCGGGAACCCGGGTAGTTCCTGGAATGGGGAATAGGGAAGCTGTGGGACCCATGGGTGGCCTTAAAGGTGGCTGAGAAGAGGGTGGGGGATGGTGGTGCCTCCTTACCTGCCTTCACAGAGAACTGAGGGCCCTGCCCCAAAACTGCAGGCCCGTGGCCTCCCCGGCGGGCACACAGAATGGGGATTTCCATCACAGATATTTGAACTACCCTCATCATCCCCACTCCCTTCCTGCAGTGGCAACCCCTGCGCTCAGGGCAAAGAGCAGACCCCTCCCTGTCCCCAGTACAGGCCCCGACCTCCATTCCAACCAGGCACCTGGCACCGCCCTCCCCAGTCTTAGTCCCCCTCCCCCACCCACACACCCTTTCCCCTTCCCTGAGCGCCCTCATTGCTGCCTCAGGGTCCTGCATGTGCTGTTCCCCTGCCTGGATGCCCACCCCAAGGGTCACCTCCTCCAGGAAGTCTTCCTTCTTCTCAGGCTGAGTTGGCTAGTTACTGCTGTGCCTGCTCTTGACTGGGGATTCTACTGAGGTGAGGCCAGGCCGCTCTTGTCCATCGTCATGTCCTCAGCGGGCACGCAGAGGCCTGTGACCATCAATCAGTGTTGACAGGGTTAAGGCCGAGACCATCGACACCAGCGCCATCTCTTCTTTGTGATTATCTTTTAAAGAATGTGCCAGGCCGGGCGCCGTGGCTCACGCCTGTAATCCCAGCACTTTGGGAGGCCGAGGCAGGCGGATCATGGGGTCAGGAAATCGAGACCATCCTGGCTAACACGGTGAAACCCCGTCTCTACTAAAAATACAAAAAATTAGCCAGGTGTGTGGCGGGCGCCTGTAGTCCCAGCTGCTCGGGGGGCTGAGGCGGGAGAATGGCGTGAATCCAAGAGGCGGAGCTTGCAGTGAGCTGAGATCGTGCCACTGCCCTCCAGCCTGGGCAACAGAGCGAGACTCCGTCTCAAAAAAAAAGGTGCCAAAATACACATAACAGAAAACTTACCATTTCAGCCATTGTTTTTTTGTTTTGTTTTGTTTTGTTTGTTTGTTTGTTTTTTGAGGCAAGCCCAGGCTGGACTA